CAGGCACGGTATGAGATCGCTACTTGTTCTCGCGATATTTTGGCCGCGCTTTGGAAAGCAGAGCTAAATGGGTTTGATGGCCGGGGCGACGCGGCAAAGAAACAAACAAAGAAGAAGAACAACAAAGAAGAAGAAGTAGAAGCAGAAGTACAAAACAGAAGTTAGAAGAAGAAGGCAGACATAAGAAAGACGATTATCAAAAAAAAAAGCCGGCTATTTTGTCGCTTTCTGTTGACGTCACATCCCGCCTTGAGTATATCCAATCAGCACCAAGTAAACCCCAAGCCCCACCCAGGAGTTTTTCGGGGCCGTTCTGAATACCTACTCCGAGGCAGGGACTTGTTTAGCCCCTGTAAAAGTTCTGAAACTCTGTTCTTCGGGGGTGGTTCCTGCGGTGGAGACACGCACCAACAGCCCCAGCCCTGTAAAATTACCCCGAAGTTCCTGCGGTGGAAACGGGCCTTCAGTGGATAGAGCAGGCGCCCCATGTACAAGGCTGTTGCCGCAGCGGCCCCGCTTCGAGTCCAGCCCGTGGCCCTTTGCTGCATGTCACTCCCTCTCTCTCTCTCTCTCTCTCTCCCCCTTTCACACTCACCTGTCCTGTCAATTAAAGGCTAAAATGCCCAGAAAAATATCTTTTAAAAAAAAAAGTGTTTCTTATACCCCCTGATCTGCTTGGAAGTCCATCCTGGCCAGTGCAGAGAAGCCAGTGCATCTCTGCTCTTGTTGACATGGAAAATCCCCCTCAGTCTCAACCATTTCAAATTGCAAATATTAAATGTTTAATACTCACTATTTGAAACTGAAGTAAATATAAAGTGTTGTAATGTTGAAATGGGTGCCGCCACAATGACAGAATTCTTCTCGAATTTAACATTACATGTCATTATGTGTGGGGTGTCTCTTACATGTTCAACATTAGTTAAGATTTGAAAATCTTTAAGTGTGGGCCAGGCTTAATCAATTCATCTATTTGTATAGAAACACTTAATGCGGACATAAAATCCTCTCTATACTGACTGGTGGTCACCTGTTTCATCTATCACCATTTCAAACAGAAGTCTCCGTCCACTGCAGGTGTTTGTCTGTTCATTATCTGCTTTGAATTTTCATGAAACCAGTTCATGTCTCCTTCAAAGGAACTTTCTGAAAGGGCTTCACTCGTACAAATTTGTTCTTGATGAAACGTCTTTGCCCTCTGATGGAGAAGAACAAGTAACTTCTCATCTTCACTGCTCCACTTCATTGATTGTTGATTGATTTGTGGGTCAGTTAGCAGGTCATAGTGAGGTTTAGTGGTATTGAAATCTGTCTTTGAAGGTGCCCGTTCAGCGTATGAATAATGTAATGAAATGGTAATCTGCCCTGTTGTCATGCAGTGCTCTCTGTATGTCTCCCTCTGCTGTTTGGTGTTTTTTTAATGTGGACAAGCAGGTGAGGGGAGCAGCCCACCCTTAAACACCAGTTTATGATTTGTAATTTGATTGTATTTAAAACAACTGTTCAGATATTACTTTACAGGGCTCAGAGTTCACACTGTATTTTGGCACTATCTCAGAGCAACATTTACAGTTAGGAACCGTCTTAAAGCCATCTGGATGGAGCTACATTACATGTGGGAAGCCACAGTCTCCTCAGCAATTCCATCTGTCTGTAACATATTAATACAGTATGTTCGGCACAGATGGGCAAGCTGAGGGCTTGTTCAGCTTTAAGTAAAGCCCATACAGTTGCAATAACCCTGCAGGCAGTTGGTAACGTTAATTTTAGCAAACATCCCTGATGCTGCTGATAAAACAGGATGCACATTAACCAGTTCGCTGCTACTCCACTCTCACTGTGTTTCAGCTCCTAGTCAGTGCACCACAGTCTGATGGTATTTATCTTAGTGTTATTAAATTATTGACTCACATACTGCTGTTTTATCCTATTATTTAGACAAAACAATTCCACGCATAAGGCGTAGTTATTACAGAGATTACTAGGAGGCATTTAGAGTGTGCATGCCTCTGCCAAAGTCTTTACAGTCCTCTGAATTTGTTTTTAAATACAATAAACTGTTGAGAAAACTTGGATCTGCATCAAATAAACAACCTTATAAGTGCCAGATTTTTATTTAGAAATTCTCAGCATGCAATATTTCATTACAAAGTGGCACCAGTGTTATTTTAAAGCTTTTTGTCTCAGCTTCATTTTCAGTAATTACTACCATCTTATCGTCGTTCTTTACCAGTGGGTCCCATCACGTGTATGAGAATATTTCAGATGCTATAGAGTGTATTGTTCTGATGTGTTTGTAATGACTTGACCTGCTGGCTATTGGCGTCATGTGTGTTTAATCAAGCCCAAGATGACTGAGTGTTGGGTTCACATGTAGAGTAACCCACACATAGAGTGACTCATCATGCATGCCTCATTTACACAGACGAACATGGACTGAAGCATTTGCACTTTTTTTCACTGTCTGTACAGAAACCCTGTAATGTACAAACATTTCAAATCTGCAAGTCTGAATCTGTTTATTTTCTATGTGGTAGTGCTCCTTTGCTGCACTATACTTTTTTTCCTGACCACTGCACCATAGAAGAAGACAAATGACAGTTTTTAAGGCGCATCTCAACTCTTGGGAACCATAGAAATTATTTTTAAAAATCCCTGATCCACGCCAAAAATAAATAACATTGTTCCTGAAAGTATGAAAACATCAAACTTAGAAATACTTCAAAATAAAAGCTCTGTGCTGGAAAGTTACTGTGTTTTAAAATTAAGTGTGTTTTTGACAAACTTGACACATTTGCAAGCACGAACCACTTTTGGACAGCAACCCACCAGTTAGTTGGGAGCCACTGCTTTAGGGTACAGTGACAACTGATAAAGGTAAAATGTTTCACAATATATTATAAATGAAACAATGTGGTGCTCAAGAGACTGTGCGTGGCCTAAAAGTCATATTCCACATGGTAAGGAAGATGTTTTTTTGGCACACACCACATCAAAAATCAAAATTAAATGCCAAAATGACCATTCCCACTAAAATCGCAACCCGTATCGCAGTAACAATATCTGTCAAAATGACGGCAAGATGATTTTTTTTTTCTGCATATTATGCAGCCCTGGTTCTATGCCTGTCTCCAGACTCACTGCCAGGCAGGCAGCATCTCTAACGTTGGTCAGTTTGTTGTATTTTTCCTGGTGAATATCATACAATATCTGCTGGTTAGATATGGAAACACTCATTTCCTTCCATGCATACTTCCTTTGCTGTTGGTTGAGGCTGCAACTTTGCCGGTCAGTCTTCACCAAAGTTGAACTCCTTTACCACCCGAAGTGAATGTTGTATTCGCCCTTCTGCTCACACTGAATGGAAGTAATTGGGAGACGAATATTCACTCGTGTGACTGAACGCTAATCCTGTTAACAGAATATCTTTAAGTTTAAGATACAGGGCTACTGGTTGCTTGGGTTGTTCTGTTGAAATTTCAAGGTGGTCGTAAAATGTCTTCAATTAAGTTTTCTTAATGTAAGGCTTTAAAAAGTCTCAAAATTCTTTAGTTTAGATTTGATGGGTCTTAAATATTTTTGGTCACATTACTGCGAAAATTTATCCAGCCTGACAGACCCGATAACTCTTTACAATCTCTGGACAGTCTGAAGACTTGCAATTATAAATATCATTTATGACAGCGCTAAGATTTTGTTTTCTTTTTACATTAAACACATTAAACTTGAATTCACCCAATTGTTATTTTTCTTTACTGTTCATTTTGAACTGACATCAGTGTGTTTACTTGGAAAGAGTGCTTACACACGTGTCACATGCAGATTTGGTCTTAAATGTCATATAAGGTGGTGTTAAAAAGGTCTTAAAAAGTCTTAAATTTACCTTTGTCATATCTGTAGACACCCTGAACTTTTGTCAGTTTACAGACATTTATCGCAACTTGTGATATGATACAGTAAGTAAGAGAATCATAATGTAAATTTTTATTGCATAGCATAAGTAAGCACATTGTCCCTGTCAGTTAGTCTCTAAATACTGTGTAAATAACTCATGTACAGTGATTCTTAGAAATATGATCTCTTAAGGCACAACTGGCAGTTAGTTCAGCACTTAGGTTCTGCAGATTTATATGAAATTCAATGATACTCTTACAATAAGAGGGACAAATTACACCTTGAAAATTGGCCTGGAAATGGGAGACTGCAGAATTGTAGCTGGGAGGTTTAACGCAGTGGTTTGGTTCCCATACAGCAGATACTGTCTGTATACTTTTCCAGCACCATATGCTGCTATTACTGTATTTCTTCTTCTGTTAGTGTTGGTAGTTCGTTCTGCCTGACGGGATATTGCTTACAGAAAACATGATTGTGCCAACTGTAATTTAAGGTATGTGAATAGCCAGTCTAAAATAATGACTGTCTGGTCTGCTCACCTCTGGCACTTCTCATCGTCTTTTCTCATGCTCTTCTCCTCCAAACTTAAATATTACTTTACCGCTAATACACCAGTTTAATGAGACACAGATGGACTCTGTACTTCTTTCCAGATGGTGGCAGTGTGCTTCTTACCTTCCTTTGTCTTTTTGGATGTAAAGGCAGAATTTGATCCACATTTTTCCTATTTCATTTGAGGAACAGGTATTTTTCCACTTGGAAGCTGTGTTTGTCTGAAGTTTAAACCTCATGTAACCATCGAAAATGACTTTAAGTTGTTGGGACAACAGCAGCGTTTTTACTGTACCCAGGGGATACTTGTTTAGTGAACAGGGTACTAGTTCTGGGCTCAGTCTCTGCTCTTGTTGACATGGAAAATCCCCCTCAGTCCCGACCATGTGAAGCCTTCTTAACGTCATGACTCAGATTTTCCTCTTTCCTGCTGACTTCTATAAACACACTTGTCACATTTCAGGTTTTCCAACTCTCCACAGTGGTAGTAGTCTCACTGCCTCTCTTCTGCTGATTCAACAACATGCATTGTTTCTTGCCTTTCATCCCCTCAGTTTGGGAGAACAGAGGGAGACGAAGAGAGAATGAAGAGCTGCTCGCCGTGTGACTTCTTGGGATGCTCGAGCGACCTGAACCTCATGCTTTTTTAAGGCCTCCAGAAGCGAAACACAGGGTGTCATTAACAGGTAAGTGGAGTCTTTTGGATGAAATGTGGTTTAAATTTGAACAAGAGAGACATCTGAACCTTTTGGCTGTTCCCTGACATGTGAAACGAGACCTACCATCTTTTTCTCTGATCTCAAAGTTTGATTTTAGGGTTAGGGTTTACAAACATTCTCGGATAACTGCGGGAAAGTCACTGCTTTAATTTGTGTTAATTATATGACATCTGAAACCGAGAATTTCTTTATTGACGTTAAGAATTGGCTGCGGACATTGCAGTGTGCATCCCACTATGTGTGGATGTTAACACATTCCTGCTGCGTGGGAGTTAGCAACAGATCTTAATCATGGATGGGGTTTTGCTGTAATTCCAGAGCTGGAAGCGTAACCCTAATCTCTTTGGCACATTATACAGTAAATCAGAGTGTGGCTAAATCGGGTCCCTGCCAACTCAATACAGCCATCCCATTTCTGTGGATTTATGACTGGACTTACGAGGAGTAGTTATTTCAATCTACAAAGCTCTCCCTCTGTCTCCTTTGTTTTCATTTGTGTCTGAGACTGATGAGCCACCCCCTGCCAAGCACTAAACCTTCGCACTAGTTTTATTTCGGAGGTGTTTCTGGATTGCTTTGCACCGTGGTGGATTATTTTGGAAGTAAGCGGTCCAAAGGGCCGGCTGGTTGAGGCCACTTTTAGCTGCAGTGTCCAGAGGGAGTGATGTCCCCATGCAGGACATTGATGGATGGCCTAGCTTTCTGTCGGCTTCTGGTCCCAGACGTGAGGCGTTGTTATGAAAATATAGAAGGAAGCAGGCTGACGGGCTGCAGAGAGACGGCAGCTCGGCCTGTGATGGATGACCACCTGCTGGGCATCCGCTATAGATACAGATAAACTAGAATTGTGGCCTCCGAGGAGCCGCTTTCAATGTTCACCAGAAATTGGCCCCGCAGAAGGCACTCCTAAATGTTTTGTGTATCTCTGAAGGATAATAAACTTTATGTGACTTATGAGGATAAACCAGAAACCACCAGACAGATGTACCCAGCATTACTGCAAAGCCACACTGGAATTTTGTGTTGTAACTGGAATTTTGCTTCAGTTTCCTTCATGGTTTTTCCTCGGTGGGGAAAGAAGCCACAGAGTTGTCATTTTACTTTGCTGCTTCAGCCTCTAAATCAACTCCATCAGAAGGGGCTGAGTCATGTTAGCCCCCCCCCCCCAGCCTATAAAGAGGCAGTGTTAATGGTGGCATTCACAGAGGTGATTTGCAACCTGCCTCTTTATCCCAGCACTGGTGGCCTCGGGGCGGCTGATTGATGGTGTTTGTCGTCCAATCTCGGACTCCAACTGAGAGTCGTTTCTGTGGCTTTGGCTGCAGGGAGACAGGACTTGTGGCACATTCAGTGTTCTCCAGACCTCCCGTTGAGACGTGCCCAAGAACGACCTTGACCTTCCTCTTCCATCTCAGTGCTTGAAGGACAAACTTTGTGCCTACCAGTGTGACCCAGTTATAGGAGCAAGGAGAGAGAGGGGGAGTTGAGAAGATAAAGGGAGAGGGACAGATCTGTGTTTGTGTGTGTGTAAGGCGGTGGCAGGGCATAGCCTACTTCTCGTACCCTACTTTACCCCTCTTTTCATCACGGAGCTGAGCAGCTGAGCTCCGACTACACCATCTCATCCTGTTGTTTCTCTTTTTTTAAATTCATTTTGGCCAGATGGTGGATTACAGGTCAAGGCAAAGGCTGCATGCTGCCGCTGTGACAAGAAAATACTATTTTGGTGATCCACTGGTTACTCAGGATTGTAGGGACTCTAAATATCTTATCAAAGATGTTTCTAGGTTTAACCAGGGCACAAATTCACACATGAATGTCCCATGTTAATTAAAGCAAACAGGAGAAACATGAGATTTGAATTTATTTATTTAACGTCAAAACTTGTGCTTAAAGCTACAATTAACAATATTTTTATAGTAACAATTGTTTGTGACTTCATGTCATGTGAAAGGGGTTGTTCATCGCATTTTTCAGCTCATTGTTTTGGGTTTCTGACCTACAACTGTGCCATTTTGTTTGACTCCGGCTGCTTTCAACAACCTGATTTCCAGCAGCACCAGGCAGCTGTTTTCAGTGAAAATCCTCTGCCACTGTTGGCAGCTAGCTTTAGCTGCTAAAGAGCCAAATACTTCCCTCACGAGTTACTGGAGACGAAAGCAGAGCTGAGTGAATATCGGACTTACACTCATCAGGTGCCCAGAAACACAACTCAGAATGAATAATAATGTTGCTCCATGTCTGCTGGATTTGTAAATGATTATATAGCAACTTAATAAGGTGATAACTAGTTGGTGTTGTGGTTGCAGATTGTCGTCCTTCCCCCCAGGTGACCAAAAAACTGTTAATGCAAGTTTAAAATGTACATATTAAACCTAATTTTTGATATTTATGACCAGCATTTTTCATCAATAGCCATTCATGTATTTAGATAACATAGAGATTCATAAAATCAGTGAGCTGACTCAGTATGTGTCCGTTATATAACAATATTAAGCTGGAGTTTTCTTACACTAGCTACTGTCAACCACCACAAGCTAATGAAGACATAGACTGTGTTCAGACTTGCATACTATTATACTGCCGACTACATACTCAATCTGTATGTATTGCATACTACTTAGTAAATGAAAGATTAAACATGCCATCAACAACAGACTATTATAGTAGTAGTATACTCAAGCATCACGACTGTATCACATGACTAAGGGGCTGGTCTGACATGGCCAGTGACTCTCACATCTCTGAAAATGTCACAGTAAATTTCCAAACAGATGTTATCTAAATAAGATTTAAATAAATTTAAACACAACACTTTTACTGTGAGCAGTTGCCCACTCAAGTCTGTAACGACGATGAACTGCTGTCAGTTCAAGACCCTGGTAAAGACAACGAGCACGCAGGTGGGCCTCTGCAACAGTTTCTGACAGTTTGTGCAGAAATTCTATGCCTGTACAAACCAATTGCTGCATCAGCTGTCCAGGTGCATAGTCTCAGATGATCTCGCAGGTAAAGACGCTGGATGTGGTCTGGTCTATTCTGTGGTTGTGAGGCTGGTGAGATTCATGGAGACAACATTGGAGACAGCTTATGATAGGGAAATGACGGTCACTTAGTTGGCAACAGCTCTGGTGGACATTCCTTTCGTCAGCCAGCCAATGGCATGCTCCCTCAAAACTTATGACATCTGTGGCATCGTGTTGTGTGATCAAATTGGACATTTCATAGTGGCCTTTTGTTGTGACCAGCCCAAAACACACCTGTGTAGTAATCCCACTGTTTAATCAGCATATAAATATGTCACACCTGTCTGATGGGTGGATTATCTTGAAAATGAGAAGGGCTCACTAACAAATGTACAACCAAAATTTAAGAGAAAAAAAGTCTTTTGTGCACTTAAAAGAATTCTAAGATTTATTTTAAGATTTATTTTTGGGGGGGGGGGGGGGGGGGCTTTTGCCTTTCATGTACAGGACAGAGTGAAACAGGGTAAGAGAGAAAGCGGGGGGTGACATGCATGTTCAACCCTGAATGATTTCTTTTGCTCACACAAAACTATTTTTAGTCGCAAGTGCAAGTCAAATGCTCGCACTGTAGAGCTCTGTACTGGAAAACCAATCACTGTAGCATATATAAACAAATCTAGCCTACAAGTAAAAATAAATGAATAATAACTTTCACTGCTTAAAGATACTCGATAGCTCAGCTAATACCTGACATGTCACTGGAAAACAAACCACTGCAGCAGCATATTGAGTGCCAGGTGGCCAGCGTGCACCATTATTGGACGGCGCATGGACACTCACCCTCTTGCAATTGGACTTTGTACTACGGAACTTAGGTACCACAGTACTATGGTACTCCAACATTATGGTATCATATGTACCGTGGTGTTTTAGTACCGCGGTCTACCGTTGGTACCAGCATACCGTGCAACACTACACTACGCTACAGACGCCCCAGAATTCTTAAATTTTTAAGTTAAACCGTTGAAAAATGGGAGCAAAATCAAACCATTGTGTTTACATTTTTGTTCAGTGTAGTGACTATAACTCCTGAAAAACAGTTGTTAACCTGGCTCAAAGTCTCCGCCATTTCTGCAGTGCATTGTGGGGCAGATGAGTGTGTCCAGTAAACCCCTGTCTCATACTCATAAATTCTTGCTAGTGCTGTATGCATCTGGGCACTTCTCGCATTCACAAAATATCCATACAAAGCAGTGTGAATGCCCTGCATAATCGATTTTACGTCATACTAGGCATGAATATTGTGTTAGTGTGTGACTTCAAACACAGCCATACTTTATGTGCATTAGTCATACATCCAGCTCTGCCTTTTGAAATATTACAATCCTCTCTTGTCATTGCTTTTAGGGAACATCGATACTGATGTTTGACAGGTTTACCTCCTTTAATTCAGAGTGACGGCTTCTTTAATTAAGAATTTGCTCAGTAATTAACTGAGCTTTGATGTGTGCCTATCTATGTTTTTAGATCAGATTGACAGATGAGAAGCAGGACTGCAGTGTTTGATGAATCCTATTATAACGTCTGCATCCTGAAACTTTAGTCTCGCTTCCACCAGTTTCCCCTCTTTCTCCCTAAACCTCACAAGCTTTTTTTCCTCCTCTTTTCACTCACGTCTTCTGAAGTTTTTGTCTTTAATGCCCTTAGATGAAGACTCAATTTTGACAGATGAAAAGGCTGAAATCCAGGAAGCACATCTGTGGCAAATGCAGACTTTTTAAAGTGAGATGATACCCTCATGCAGTTCCGCTTTCTTTTTACTCTCCATTCCTTTCTACTTGAAATGGGAATGGAAAGTAGAATGGTCTTTAACTGACAGCTCGCCTTTCCCTGGCTTTCCGTTCCTTTCTCCTTTCTCTTCTTTTTACTGCCTGACAAAAGCAGCGGAGGACTTTGCAGAGTGTAGTTTCTTTGGTCAAAGGAAATGGGAGAGGAGGAGTG